TGTATATATATATATATATATATATATATATATATATATATATATATATATCTATACCGAGAACTGCGGGACCGATTGTGTCTAGGGAAATTTTGTCGAGCCTTTCAGATACCACTTCATGTCAATTATTTTTCAAAAGACACCGAAGTCGTTTTTGTGGAGAGTACTAGCGTCTAAACCGCCTACACAACTCTGAATAGTATTAATGATTCATAAATGGGCTGATTCAGAACGATAAAAACGCTGCAGGCTTGTAGAGATGTAAGTCACAGTACTGTACAATTGTCCAAGAAGTAAGAACTAGCCAACCACAAACGAAATTTCCGTAACGGGTAATTCGTTGTCACACTAGTCCGAATCCTAAGCGGTCGTGTTCGTCAGGTAATTANAAACGGAAGTAGAACTGTTAGTTCAGGTCTTTGCAATCGCAATAGTAAAGGCAACTTTCATGACAACACAGATAGAAAACCCGCGGTTTCCAAGTGATTAGGTGAAAAATATACCAACAATTTTTAAAACAAAGCGTTATGATCTGAGATATAGATGAATAAGTGAATTGCATCAATGCAATAAATTGAGATTGAATTCGCACATCGAATCTTTTTGGTATTCGCCTTTTTCACTGATAAGTCCCTAGTGTGTGTGTGTTTATGTGTGATGAGTCTTGGTCTCAGAAGTGTGTGGTTTGGTGCATGTAACAATGTCCTGTCGGATTGGGCCACGGGGTTTGTTTGCCTGCGGTTGAAGAACCTATTTCGAATTACGTATTGATCATTAGACCTTCGGTGCTCTGCAGAATTTAAAGGTACGATTTATTCAGTTACCATCTTAAAAATCACATACCAATGTTATTGAAAGCTTGTTGTAACGTTGCGATACGACTTAACTAGCACGAGCCGTCACGATATGTGTGGCAGCAGAGACCCAAGAACCGAACCGTACGACCCAGCGGATCAGTAACGGTACACCGGTGCGCCCGACTGCGGTACTCCAAAGCGAGTCCCAACCGAACAGTAACGAGAAAAGCGCCCCACGAACCAGTACGATCCCCGGAACCCGACCAGAGAGAGAGAGCAAGCAAGACAGGCCTTCAGGTGAGTTTGTATATTTGGCTCGACCGCCAGAGACGGAGAAAGCGGACAGCTCATCTGTTTATATAAATTTCGAGGACCGGCCATCAATGACCTTGGGAAATAGCTCGAAAGTAGTAAGTCACGGAAAAATGGACCAACGGGGATCCAGCATGGCCAATGGTTCAGTATGAGTCTTTTTTTAGTGGGAAAATCTGAAAATTCAAATTTTATGAAAATAAATAGGAAAATAGGAAAAAATAGAAGGAAATAGTCATTTTTATAGGGAAAATGGCCTTTTCCCTATCAAATCTTAATCCTCTTTTTTTCTATGAAGGAGTGAACAAGCTCACTTATAAGTTGACTTTGGAATCCGATTCCGGACTCACTACCACTCCCATACTTTACGCTGTTCAGTTTTCTCTCTCTTATCGAATATGAGTACCACAGATCGAGTGAATAAGCACTCTTGTTCAACGTGCACTCATTCATAGAAATCAGATCACTCTCTTGACGCCTCATCCCCCTCACTAATATTTGTGACTTGGATTGTAAGGTTCATTTTGCATACCACTTTCTCCCACCTTCCCTCATGGCTTTATTTCTAACAGAACCACAAATATCTCCCTCATCAGACACTACTTATCTTTGATTTCCTCATGATCTCAATTTCTCTTTTTCTCGAAACTGGCATCTGCTCAAATCAAGTCAATTCACGAATTGCTTTATTCATCTTAATGGATGGATTTTCAGCTCAATGCATATCAATATCATTTGTCTTCGCATACAGTCACAGAGAAAAAGTATACCACAGCGTCATGGTTTCAAGAGAGGAAGGTGTTAATGTGAACGTGGATATAATTTACCTAAGGTTTGTGAGAAGTTGTCTGTGATAGATGGTTCCTGTTCCAGAAATATAGTGGATCAAGGGCAAACGGTACTCATTGGTCCGAATATACACAATTTTATAATGGCACCTCATTATGGAAGTGGATACATATTGTTTAAGTTTTATATGTGGCGTGAAAGCATATAAAACTGCGGCGTATTATAGGTGAATATCAACATAGGAGTATACGAAATGTGTGATTGAATACAGTGGAGCTTTTAAAGACGTCTACCGTGAAATGAAGAAATTTTAGTTGAATCTTCAAAAATGCAGCCAAACTATGAACTGCATGTGAGTATTTAGTAGACAGTAACACCAAGGTATTGTAACGAACGTACTGGGGGAACAATCGGATTGCTGACACTGAGTGCAGAGCAATTTCCTTCCGTCTAATGTAGCCGTTCTTCTATTCCATTACTTCCAAACTCTTTGATTTCTCCAGCAGTGAATTCCGTTCTCCTAACCACTAATTTTGTACCATTTACCGTTCCTCCTACCGAAAAGTTACCTCTGTTTTTGCTATCCTATCTTTTAACGTCCCAAATGGGGCAGACTCTGACAGCCAAATTACCATTATAAGAGATTTCAATGTCTGTACCAAGGTGTGCCCGCTGCACTCCTTAGACACCAATGCGAAGCCGATGTTCTTGCTGTG